TGGTCTCTCATCCGCCCCTTGGTGTTTCACCAAGTTAATGAAGCCAGTTATGGCTCTTCTCCGGTCCCAAGGTGTCCGGTCCATCGTCTACCTAGACGATATATTGATCATGGCACAAGACCCCAATACGCTTCGGAAACATACAAATATGACCAAATGTCTCTTACAAAACCTTGGTTTTGTGATCAATTTGGAAAAATCCTCTCTGATACCATCACAATCCATCCTTTTCCTGGGCTTCCAGATCGACTCCGTTCGATCAATCCTTCAACTCCCGATGGCGAAAATAAAAGCCATCAAGAAGGACATTCGGAAACTATTGTCCTCTCATCAGGTATGCCTTCGCGACCTGGCGCGGATAATAGGACTCCTGTCCGCATCCATTCAGGCCATCTTCCCCGGCCCTTTACACTACAGGGCGATGCAGCGTCTCAAGACGAAGTATCTGTGCAGATCCCATTCCTACGACCAACCTATACTCCTTACAGAAGACGTTCGTGTAGAGTTAGATTGGTGGCTCCAGAATATGGAAGCTTGGAATGGAAAAGCGATCTTCGGTCGCCAACCAGACTTCGTCCTAGAGTCCGATGCCAGCCTCCTAGGTTGGGGAGCCACTTGCTCCGGCCTTTCCACGGGGGGTCTCTGGACTCGGTCAGAACGATCCATGCACATCAATTGCTTGGAACTGATGGCTGGCGCTTTTGCAATTCGCAGTTTCGCCAAAGACGTTTACGACTGCTCTCTAATTCTGAGAATGGACAATGTCTCCGCTGTCCGTTATGTCAATCGTCTTGGAGGCTCCCGCTCCAAGCTCCTATCAGACCTTACCAGGGAACTCTATCAGTTCTGTCTAGGGAGGAATATCTCCCTTCAAGCAGAATACCTTCCCGGGTCAGACAACCTCGTGGCGGACTGGTTCTCCCGTCACTGGAGGGACGCCAGCGATTGGCAGCTGGATCCGAATGTCTTCTACCAGCTACATCTCCTTCGCGGGCCCATTACGTTGGACCTCTTTGCCTCCAGACTGAACCGTCAGACGGACGCATTCTTCAGCTGGCTACCGGATCCGCTGTCCCAAGCCGTAGACGCTTTCCTACAACCCTGGCCATTGACAGGAGCATACGCCTTCCCACCGTTCTCCCTGATCCCTCGCTCTCTACACCGTCTCAGGGTTCTGGGAGTCGGGATCCTGTTAATAACTCCCCTTTGGAGAGCCCAACCCTGGTACCCCAACCTCTTAGAGATGTCCGCAGACTACCCTCTGCTTTTACCCCTCACCCCAGACCTTCTCCGAGACCCATTCGGAGCATATCATCCCCTGGCCATCCGGGGACACCTCCAACTGGTGGCCTGGACCGTTTCAGGGGATCCTGGTTCGTCCCGGGCCTTTCAGGCTCAGCTCGCAACCTCCTCTGGGATTCATGGGCCCCAGGCACCCGAAAGTCATACCTTTCGGCGTGGTCAGCCTGGGCTCGCTGGTGTTTGGAAAGGGATATTGATCCCTTTTCAACGACTCTGGTGAATATTATGAATTTTCTGTCCTCTCTTTTTGACAGTGGCAAATCTTATCGTACTATAAACCTTTTCCGCTCTGCCATCTCGGCTGCTCATAGTCCGATCAATACACTCCCTGTCGGACAACACCCTTCCGTGTGCAGGCTCCTACGGGGCATCCGTCTTGCCAGACCTCCGGCACCCCGTTACACCCATTTTTGGGATGTGGCACAAGTCTTATCCTTTCTGGAGACCTGGCCTCCCAACTCAGAGCTATCCTTACGCCAACTCTCTGCCAAGTTAGCCCTGCTACTTTGCTTGATTTCTCTACGTCGGGTTTCCGACATCAAAGCCTTCGACCTTCATGCAATTACTTTCACTCCCGAGGGAGTACGCTTCTCTGTTGTCCGTCGCACTAAGATTCCAACATCCTCCGTCTTTTATCCATACTTCCCAGACAGACCTTCTCTGTGTGTTGCCCTTTGTTTACAACGGTACGTTACTCTTACATCGCCGCTTCGGCCCCCGTCGGGACCTCTTTTTGTGTCCTACGTTCGTCCTCACCGTCCGGTGTCTTGTCCCACTATTGCTCGGTGGATCAGGTGGCTCCTCCGCCTTGCGGGCGTAGAACCGCCCTTTGGCGCTCATTCAGTACGGGGCGCGGCCGCATCCTCCGCCTTTACCTCTGGGAGTTCCCTTTCGGATATTTTGACCTCGGCAGATTGGTCAAGGGAATCTACCTTTCGTACGTTTTATTTCCGGCCTCAAACTCATCCGGGTTTTCATTTGCTCTCTGGGCGTTAAAACAGCAAATATGAAGCCTCCTGTCTTGCCATAAAATTAGAGATTATTCTAGCGTCAGTGACCTAATAATCTAAATTTTATTAAAGACAGGAGGCGAATATTTTCCCACCCTACGTGCGCTCAGGTTTTTGTTTTGTTCTTTTTCTTTTTTTCGCACGTCCCCTCCCCTTTTCTTCAGAATGGGATACACAGGTAGGGTGTGCATACTGCTGTAGTTTTTGGTTTTGGTTCATAAGCTCATTCTTTCATCCACATATATATCACTAGGGATATGTGTAATATTCCAGAAGTTTTCATTAAAACATTTTCAAACTAGGCATTTGTATGTAGGCACCTTGCCAATCACACCATACTTTCACGAGTTTCTCTTCTTTTTTTCTAGTGTGAAAGAGCCTTCACCCCTCTGCATGACGACATCGTTGAGGATATGTTGTCCCAACTTCCAGTTTCGTTAAGATTATTCGTTCCAGTTTACATGGTTGACATCACTCCGGCTACATCAAGAAAGAGGAATTGGGAGGAGTTTCACAGCCACTTATTAATGACTAGATGTGTTCTGATTGGTTGTTTCCTTTTTTCAATCTGTTAACTGTTTCTTTGCTGCTGGGAGGAACAGTAAAGGAAGTAAAGCAAATATTCGCCTCCTGTCTTTAATAAAATTTAGATTATTAGGTCACTGACGCTAGAATAATCTCTAATTTTACAGGATCCAGCTGTTGCCATGGCAAAATTAAAACATCTGACATTTCAGGGTGAATCTAAGTAGTCAGCTTTAATATGTATACATGGTTGTGCCAATAAGATTAGAATGTATTTTTGAGGCACAAAGTGATCTTATTGTAGAAAAATGAAATCTTGAAATAATTTTAGTTGATACTTATTTGTATGTATGTATATTATTTTGATAAAATAGGCTTGTCTGGTATCATATACAAAATCATATTCTTCTGTGTCACATAAACATATAACACAATCAGACTTTCCTGGCTTTTCTTACAAAAACTGATTTATTTATTTTGCTTCGCAACATCATTGGTGTTAAATTGGTCAACAGCTGATGGTATGTGCTTGACATTCAGAGTGCGGAGACACTCTGCCCTTGATATTCTGTCTCATTGTTTCCCCCTCACACATTTAATACATGTTATACATATGTGGGTGTGCAAGCATTATAAAGTCAATGCTATTGATAGAATATGCTTGTTGACAATGCTAATAACCCTCTTAGGTCATCTTATGTCCCATGGACATGCAGAAAAAGAAAAGAGCTTGTAGCACTTATGATCATCTGTTCATGTCACTCAATATCAACCATGCATAAGTGTGAAATGCATGTAAGAAGTAATTTCCACAAAATAGAAAATTTTACACCTATAATAAACATATGTAAAGCTCTGTTGGGGTAGGGGTGGGAGGTTACCAGGAATGTCAAACCACATATAAACCTGCTGGTGCAGTATTTTGGATGCCTTCAATACCTAACAGGCGCTTCTTTATTTCACTGTGAAGAAGTCAACACAGGCTGGATGGGCTCCCTACAGTGAATTTTCTGTTCATGAATCCTATTGGTTTTGGCTTTGCATATGAGATACTCTTCATACTGTATAGAACTTTGGCCAATCTGACTCAGCCAAGTGTCCTTCCATCTTGTTCAAAGCAACAAAGAACAGTGCTTCTTGTGGGACTGGCCTACCAATACCAACATTTTGCAAGAAAGGTATTTGCTGATTTGACTTTGGAGTTGTGTATTAATGTATATAACCCTTTTGTAATATTAGACATCCTTGCTTGGAAGGATATTCTGTTCATATTTTACTATTAGTTAAGTGATCTGAACTATAATTAGCTTTTTTGATAGTGGATACCCAACTCTTTCGATACTATAAACCAAGTAAACTGTGGTAATTTTTACAATTTCCCAAATGTATATTTTACACTGAATTAACACCCCCCTTATATAGGCTACTCCACCACATTTACTTTACAACTGTGCTCCATAACTGGACACGCACTCCTTGTTAGGGAAAATTGCTGACTTTGATTGTGTCATTATCCACATGCTTGTAATATTGGAAATTTCTGCCACTAGTAAGTTTTTCTGCAAACATATTTGCATCATAATATATTTACATGTGTATAATAGTATATATCTTGCTTATGTCTTCCTAAGAAAATACAAAATCGCACATATTTCCCAAAATAGGGTTTCTCAACTACTTTTGGCATTATTTTCTAATTTATAGACATTAATGAATAATATAATCCAAAAAACACTTTGTTTTTCACGTCAGAACTCAAATGCACATTGTCCCTTGTGGTTTTGCCCTGGGAAAAAAAATATTAATGCCTTATTAAATAGCTTTAAAGCTTTTGTGAAAAATATCTCCTTTATTTTTTCCAATTTTTTATTCATGAATCAAGCAATGTAAGACATTACAGATACTTTTTAATGGCATCATATTACCATTTAATTTTGTCAAGTATAGTAGAAAAAGCCTCTGGGACATAATGTCTCCCCTTTCGCTCTCACTAGCAAACAGATGGCTCATACATTACCCTTTGTATTATTCCTCATAGTCAGTAGGGAAAGGTATGTTGCTAAGGGGAAATTAAGGTGCTATAGACTGGGTGAAGGTGTCAGATTTCGAGCTTATCCATTAAAGAGTTTTTGACCCTCCGAGCTAATTGGTGGACTGTAAGCTTTAAAACAAGATACTGTTGTTTCCTGTATCACGTTTGACTTTAAGCTCTCCAGTGATGTCTACAAAGAGAAGACATAAATACACAATGTATTATTTACAGGACAAATTTTTTTTTAGTACTATCACTTAACAGCCTTAAACAAACAGATTAATCAAAATACAGGTAGTCCTCACTTTACAACGTACCTGTTTAATGACGCTCGGGCTTACGACCAGCTTTCTAGCGCAGGGATTCGAGGGATTTCCCATGTTAGAGAACTAGTCTATGTTCGGGGAAATTTCCCAGAACATAGGCCTGCTCTGGTGCACATGCTCTGTAGATCAACTTCACTTATAAGACCGAGTTGAAAGTATGGAACTGTGGGGATATTTATGGGATAATAATAGTAACAGTGAGAATTGCCCACTAATTCAATTCTCAGATCCCAAAGAACGTTTATCGTGTTAAGTGGAAAGTATTTCATATAAATAATCACAATGTATAAAAATAGATTTTATTTATGATAACCAATAATTAACAAATAATATTATGTAACATGCATGTCAATAATCAATGAATATTCAGTATAAAATGATATGCAATACAAAGGAACGGGTATTACGTTTCAATGGCTAAATAGCATTGCCTGTCAAGAATTATTTATGACTATCTTTAACACAGACTGAAAGTGAAACTTTTCACAGCGAAGAACAGAATTCCTCAGAGTGCAGCGTAAGGTCGTAAAGTTAGCAGACAGTTAGAATAACCCTTTCAATGCTGGCTAGATCTCCTAGGTAGTTAAGATCTATTCTTATGTCATTTTTAAATAAAATAACATTTAACCCAGTTCATTAGTCATTTCCTGAAATCATCCAATAAGAGAATCTACCATATTATATAAGCAGATTTTTAATTTGTCTAAAAGATATCTATCTTAATTTAGAGCAAATCAATACACCTGGATAAAAACAGCGGTATGCTAACACGTGATAATATCACATCAATATATAATTATTCTTAATTCCACCTGCAGAATGGAATGTTTATAACTATATATTCTTAGTTAACTAAGATTTCTTAATATGGAAATCTGACCGTGCTTTATCCAGTCATATATAATGCTATTAATACATTTTAATTAATTTAATTTAATTAAATGAAACCAGTATAATTACCAGTTGAGTAGATATTTCATCCGATTGGTAGTCTCAGGAACTTATTTGGATGTCTCTCTCTGCATGGAGGTTGGAGTCCCCAAACTTCCAATTCCTCTCTCCTCTCCTTTGCATCTCTTGCCTCTGCTTCCCTGTCTTCCCTTTGTCTTAACTTTTAAAGGGCCAGACTCTCTGTACGTCATCAGTTGATAACCCAATAGAAGCACTAGAGGTGTGGTTATCTTCCAGATCGCAAATTAGTTATTTGGTCTATAGAGGGCAGTCTTGTCCCACTAAACATACCTATCCAGGAAAGAGTTAACTTTTCCTGGTGGCTATTTTGACGTCATTTTGCGTTATCTTTATAGTGCCATAATTTAAAATTTCAAAGGGTTTCTTAAATTTTGTCCAGACTTAGCGTCTGCAATTCCTGCCATAATTTCTGATATGGCAGATCATGAACTAAGTTTACCCTTTTCCATACAATGGTACCTTATATATATAGACAGTTAAATATTATTATTTAATCTTCTCTGTCACAATTGTCTGGGTTTAGATTTGATTATATTCTTCTTATCACTTGTTTATACTATGCTATGCATTCCTTAGCTCTGGCAAAGAGGCCAGTCTTACAGAAAGAAATCTAGTGTCTTCTTTGTTAATTTGAAATATCAAAATGGAGTCTGGTCTGTTCAGAGTGACTCAGAATATACACTTTTAGTTTCTATCATAGCACAAAATGTCTGCCGATATAAATACCCTGACATAACCCCCCTTTAGTGCATTTTATAGCCAAAATTAATTTAGCTTATGAATAAGCACTATAGAAGTTACCAGACATATTGTGCAATCACATCATTTCTAACATAGGCCCGTGCGTGGAATGAACATTTTTGTATATATTTGTACCTGTAAGAGTTTTGAACTTTACACTTAGTACAATCAACCATAATATCATTATTACATAGTACATTGTTTTCATTTGAAAAATGTCTTTGAGAGTTACATATGGGATGGTCAATAAAAAGCAAATCTCCATACGTTCTGGATCAATTAAGAGAGGTATAGCGCTCCCCATCTCAAAGGCCAGATTTAATTGCATAGGCTCAATTGTCTCTCCATCCACATTGGCAAGCATCGCATGAACAATATCCTTGGATACAAAGTACAGAGGTATGCGTCCCCCTGCCAATTCGATCATTCCAGTTTGCACTTCGTCAAGAAAAGCAAGTGTGTGGAACAATATTGGGTCATGCAGAAATAGAAGTTCACGCTTAAATAAGTCATGACTTTGGTGCAACTCAGTGGATTTGGCAATTAACTCCGAATGCAAATTTGTTGTAACAACTGTGTCTTCCACAATAGTTAACACGTCTTGGAGAAGTGTTCTTTGCTGTTGTATCACCTGATGAATATCGTTAATGTGTTGCTTTAGCGCATAGATTTCCATATCCAGCTTTTGGACAGTAATAGAGTTGGCTGCAGACATTCCAGTTGCGACAACTGCACCGACAGTGGCACAAACTAATGCAACAATTATAGCGGTGAGGAACCTTTTGGGTCGGTTGCTCATCGGAATAGAACTGGATACAAATGGTTTCCGGGCTTGCTCCAAGATGTTTCGCACACGGTCCTGTGCTCTTTGGAGGTGCATCTGGTACCAAGTCTGTAACTCAGGAAGCTGCATCGATGAAATGTTGTATGCCTTCTCGATGGAAATCTTGGGGTCCAAGCTGACGAACACACGTCGGGTCAGGATCCTCTTCTCTGTTAAGATGAACCCTGGTGTCTCTTGAATCAGGATGCCGGAGGATGGTCCCATCTCTGCGATCGGGTCGGTCCGTAGCTCTTGGCACAGGAGCAGTACGATCCAGAAACACGCCACATCCTTCTTGGACATCTTTCGACAGTCACGGATCAGGAACTCGTTTCAGACTTATCTACTAATGATTCAAGGTTTGTTAAGCATACAAACTTATAACAGTGTGACATCACTTGGCCTAGGACAACACATTATTACGATTCATCAACATATGTATTCTGTCTAATTCTATTTTTATAACTTCATCCCTCACTACATTTATTACTGACTCTTCAGCAATTTGCCTATAGCAGTTAAACAAGCTAGTAACCTGCTTATAAAATGTAGTTATTGGATGGCAAGGAAATGGTTAATGACATGAACGTACATGAGATCATGGCACATCACAACATTTCACATCATACTATACCACGTGAATCAAGCATTCATCCAGGTTAGTCGTTCACCCTTCTGCGTCTGAATCCACACCTATAATCCTTAATTGAGATTTAGGATGACAAGCACGCAACTGGTTAATGTGAACCCACTTTTCAATAAAATCACCATCCTTAGGAATTTTTATCTTGTACGCTACTGGGGAAATTTTGTCAATAATGAGATATGGCCCTTTCCAAGAAGGTAAAAATGTATTTTCCTTGACTTGATTTCGCGCAAAGTTATACAGATAGACTTGATCTGTTATCTCATATTCCCTTTTCGTGGTTTTTAGATCGTAATAGGTCTTAACCCCTGTCGCTGCTTTTTCTAGATTCTTTTGGGCAAAAGCAAACGCATGCTGTAAATGCTTGCGCAAATCTTCGATATACTGATGCGTAGTGGCAGCATTGATCAAATTATGATCTGAAGTACGGTATAGTAAATGCTGTGGTAAAACCATCTTTCTTCCTGTCATCAATTCAAAAGGTGACAATTTGGTAGCAGTGCTAGGTGTAGCTCTAATCGCCATTAAAACTAGGGGCAATTTAATGTCCCAGTCTTTACCAGACTCCTTAACATACTTCTTCAGAATATTAACGATAGACTGGTTATATCGCTCTACCCCCCCCGCTAGACGCAGCGCGGTATGCAATATGTAGCTTTCGTTTAACACCTAGAATGTTCCACATCTTAGCCATTACTTCGCTGGTAAAATGACTACCTCTGTCTGACTCAATTATTTGAGGCAGACCGAACCTGGAAAAGACATGGTTAATCAACAAAGTGGCGCACACGGTACTCGTGTTCTCTTTCAAGGCAAACATTCTATCCACTTTGTGTACATACATGTAACAGTTAACATGTATTTGTTACCTCTTGAAGATCTTGTTACAGGACCTATAAAGTCAATTTGAATATCAGACCAGGGTAATGACACCCCCCTCTTCTGAAGTGGTGCACGATGGGTTGGACCATGGGGTTGATATTGCGGACAAATCAAGCATCCCTGACAGTATGTCTTAACATCCCTTAACATGTGTGGCCAATATGCATAATCACGCAATATCTCATATGTGATCTTATCACCACGATGCCCAGATGTAGGTGCATCATGTGCGTGTTGGAGCATTAACCCTCTGTATACAGTTGGGACTACCCATTGTTGTATACCATGTTTAGAAGTTCTGACCAGCAACCCATCCATGATACTAAATTGGACTTTATATCTCATCAAGATTCGTAAATCTTCATTATGTTTGCAATCCTCATCTGTGATGGGATTGGCAGTAGGGTCTTCTATATGTTTATAGAATATGCCTATGACAGGATCATTCTTTTGACTGGTAATGAGGTCCTCACTAGGAGCTTCTTGACTCCATTGCACGACATTTAAGTCGGCATTATCTCTAGCCTGTCGTCTAGTTATGGCTTCAACATGAATTGAACCCATAAGATCATCAATGTTTAGGATTTCACCATCGATGGCAGCTTGTTTTGCCAGTGAATCGGCTAAGTCATTACCATCCTTGTCAATACCTTCTATTTTAGAATGGCCTTTGGTTTTCTTCCAATATATGGATAAACCATTTTCCTTAACCAGTTCATCGATTTTACAAAACAATTTCCCATGTTTAACAGGTTTGTTATTGCTTTTCAGCATTTGGTTACGTTTCCAGCTAGGCAGATATTCGACGAAACTGTTGCGAACATAGTTAGAATCAGTTATAATAACAAATTCTTTGATACCATATTCTATTGCCATTAAAATGGTCTTATATACTGCACAGAGTTCGGCTATCTGACTGCTTTTGGGACCAATATTGTATCCTATAGATACATTAGGATAATCACCTGTCCAGGCGATTCCGATACCTGCAACTAACTTCCGTTCAGTACCAACTACGTGGTGATATGAACAACCATCAATGTATACCCACGGTAGTGGTCGACAGTATTCCTCGTCATAAACTTTATAAGGAGATAGCAATTGCTCTTCTAGGAAGTCATCTCCGGTGTCATTATCATCCAGAGATGGAGCAGTACAGTCATGTAATTCTGCTAAACCTTGGGCAACTGGGCTTCTCTTATTATGTTTATAACGGACTTCTAACGGCCATCCCTGTAAGGATAGAGTCCATGCAGTAATCCGACTGTTAGAGAGATTACCGTCTCTAATTCTTTCACTCTGCAGATACTGTAGAGGTTGGTGAGCTGTTTCTACAATTATTTTCTCACCTTGGATATAGCTACGAAAATTTTGTAGTGCCCAGACAGTCGACAATAACGCCTTCTCACACGTGTTGAATTTAACTTCAACAGGTGACAAAGTCTTGCTAGCATATGCAATAACTTTGTTTAAACTGTCCTGCTTCTGATACAGAACAGCACTGATGCTTAAATTGGTATAACCTGTCTCCAGATAGAAGGGTTTACCCCCCTCTGGGTATGCTAAACAGGGTGCCTGAGTGAGCTTCCTCCTCAGTTCACTTACCGCTTGGTCCTGAGGCTCCCCCCAGTTCCAGGTAGTTTCCTTTTTAAGCAGGTGTAAGAGTGGCTTTGTTATTTCTGCATAGTTATCTATAAACTTACGGGAGTAGTTAGTCATACCAAGGAACGATCTTAATTCCCTGATGTTTGAAGGTGTTTTAGCCTTGAGTACGGCTTCAACCTTCTTCCTCTGTGGATTTAATCCTTCAGAAGTTACCTCATGTCCGAGGAAATTGACATGGGTGCGACACCATTGCGCCTTTTGTAAAGAGAGTTTTATCCCTGCCTCTCTTAACTGAGTGAGAACATGTCTAATCTCTAAGATATGCTTATCAAAGGAGGTGCTTTTCAGCAAGACATCGTCGACATATGATAATGTTCCTCTCTCAAGTGCGTCAGGCATAGCTTTATGCATGAACACAGCAAATTCATGACCAGAGTTTATATAACCGAAAGGCATACGGGTCCAGGTATACTGCTGCTTTCCAAATGTGAAGGCCAATTTGTATTGGTCTTCATATACAGTCCAATATCCCTGCGCACAGTCAATGGCAGTGAATATTTTGGATCCCTGCATTTGTATCAAACATTGGTCTATGTATGGCGTTGGCCAACCAGACATATAGACGCGTTTATTTAGCTGTCGTAAGTCAGCGCATAAACGCCATTGTCCATTAGGTTTCAGAATCCCCAAGATCGGATTATTATACGAACTGTGCACTGGACGTATAATGCCCCTTTCCTTTAAATTCTGAATGATGTCTTGTAGACCATCATATGACGCTAATGGGAGTCTATATTGTTTGATAAATACAGGTGGTAAATTTGGATCAGTTTGTATTCTGGCTACGTGGAGGTTAGTTAACCCACAGTCGTAGGAATCTTTGGCAAAAATATCTTGGAATTCCAAAAGGATTTCCTTTAGCTGTTGCGCTCAGCATCGTTGGAGCAACCGTCAGCTAAAGATATTTGCTCTTCTAGCCTTTCCTGAAATCCTGGAAAGATTTCAGGCTGGCCTATCTCATAAGCTTCTTCAAGCCTAGAAGTTAGGTCAGTTCGGTGTTGACTTACCTTTTCTCTTTGGTCGTGATACTCTTGTGATTCCTGCTCATTGAGCGGATGATCGAAGGTGATAGATGCTTCTTCGATTTTACACGAGCCTTCTTCAACGTTGAAGGGATATACAGATAGGATAGTGAATAATCCTTCTGGGGAGGAATGGAATATTTGATCGACAATTTCGTCCTCAGTTAAGTATTCTTCAGGGATGAGGCCTATAATTTGGTTTTGGAAACCAAATGTATAGTACTCAGCATCCAATGCTAGACCTAGTAATGTTCCTTTTGGTAAAGTAACACTATTGGGTGTAACATTGTTGACCATGATATAGGTGGGATTCTTACCAATACTTACCATTGGTGTATGTGTTACCACCATCCCTAATTGTTGTATCCTGTTGGATAAACAGATTAGGGCATCAGAGTTTTCCAATCTCTGACCCTCCTTGACCTGTAGGGGTAAAAGAAAGTTACTTGTCCCCTGTGGAATGGTTATGTCATCAGGAACTTGGATACTTACCGCATATGGGAGTATTTGTCCTGATTTCAGGGTGTTTTCCTCGTGTAGGTATCCACAAGGATTATCTTTTAATCTTGTCCACAAGTTGGAATTAATCAGATCAAGGTGTATGGCAAAGCGATGTATGACATCATTGCCGACGTAAACCTGATAGCGAGGTTCATCTATCACTAGGAATAAATGTTTAACTGTCTTATTTCCGATGGAAATAGATAGTAAACATTTTGCTATCACATTGTGACTCTCTGATTCGCCATCCAGATTCTGGATCCACCTGTCATGTGGGGAAGCGTACCTGATCATTTTAGGATTAGCGATCTGTTTTAACAGACTTCTGCTAATATAGCTGTTCTCACTCTTTAAGTCCAGCTTTGCATTCCTACTTCTTCCTAAGTCATTTATTTGCATAGGAAAGAATAAATTGTTATTAACCCTTTCAATTCTGGCAAGGAATTGAGCATGACCTGCCAGATCTACAGATTCAACATAGTCCCTGTGGAGAGAAATGGTTAAAACATCACCTTCCAGAGAGCCATTCTGGATCCTCTCTGGAGCAATTCTTACGGAATGCTCATCTACAGCTGCGATTGCATCAT